AACCCCCCCCCCCCCCCCCCCAATTAGGTATGGATAACTGATGGCCCTTCAGATGCAGCTGAACCTTATCTCCTAGGTGGCCCAGCCAAAATGGTAAACTGGCAGATATGCTGGGAAACGTAGTTCAGCAAGCGTCCCCCTCCCACTCCTCCACCAATCTTTCCTTTTTTTTTTTCAAATAATTTTATTAACAGTTTCAAATAAAACAATTAAAAATACAGACTAAAAGAAAAAGAAATGAAAAAAATTAAAATGTACTTTAAAAAACCCTCCACCCCAAAAATGACTCCCCACACTCATCATGGCAATTATAAACAATTCCCTAATCTCTTCACCTCCTCTTAGTTAAGAAATATAAAATTCTTCATCCCATAACCCATTTCTTAACAATAGGCAAATCAAATAAGTAAAGTCTTCTTCAATCCAGTTACCAGCAAAAGATCCAAACAAAGCTCTAAGATTTTAACATTAATTAACATGTATAAAACTTAATATTCCACATCTCATCTCTTAACTATAACAAAATCCCATTTAAAAGTCATAAAATGGTCCCAATATCCTAATATAAACAAAATAAAATAAAAAAACCCAAGTTTAACCATGACAAAAACAGACAATTTCTTCTTTACGAAAGACAAGCCCCAATATGCTTCAAATAACAACTTATCCCATTCAAATATACATTGCATATCTCCACTTTATAAGCACATCTATATTTCACAAATATAAAATAATCCCAGTATCCTAATATAGACAAAAAACTGAAGTTTAACATAAGAGAAATAATTTCTCCTTTAAAAAAACAAATTCTCCAAACTTCCTTACTTTGAATAAAGAGAAACAATTAAATGTAAAGCCAATTTAAGTACTATAAAATTAGGATTACATAAAAGAACTATAGAGTAAATAAGCTTTTACATCATATTCAATATAGACAAATCCAGTACACCATATTTTCTAATTAAGATATCAATAAATCTAAAAAGAACCACCCAGAATAACAACATATCCCATTTTATTCCTGATCAAATAAACCAACTTTGTAGTCTTTTTTTCTTCTATACAGGGTAGTCTCTCTGTAATCCATTCATTGATCCTTGTTACAAATTTCATTAGCATGTTGAACAGTCTCTTTTGTAAATCCAACAAAGGGAAATTATTCCAATTGTTCTCTGAGATTACCATTTTTATTTCTTTCTTTATTTTTAGAACCTCATCCAGTTTTCTGTCTGTGTCTGGTAACAGTTTCTTATTCAAAGTCTATATTTTCCTCAAGTAAATTTTGCTGCATATCTCATTCTTTAACATCTCCATTTGGGAGCGAGCTTTCTCAAGAAGACACAACATAGCTGACATTTCATGACACAGGTCTCTACGCAGTTCTTCAAAGATGTCTCTAAATGCCATTATAAATTGCTTGTCTTATAACTCCAATCTCATAGAATTTTTTTTCTTTTCCACAAGCATATTTATTTTAAAAAAAACGTTTCAAAATCTTGATATTCCAAGTCCAAAACTCCCAACATTTTCTGAGCCCTTAAAACTT